GCTACCAAGCCACGCCCACAAAACCGGTAGTAAAAAAATGTGGATTTCACCACCGAGCTGTGTAATGTTCAGTGGAAATTAAAATGTTCCCTTGTTGAGGCATTTGAAATCCTGGACCAGGGCTTCCTTCCTTGCCTGGTTATCGGTCTGTGTGGCAAAATCCAGACGTGGTTTATAGAAGTGAAAAAAAAAAAAACTCTCTCGCAAATACCAATTTTGCTTCATGCTATTTGCTACCGTGTTTCCCCCCGAAAAATGAGATCAGGTCTTTTATATTTTTTTTGCCACCAAAGAAGGCACCAGGTCTTATTTCCTGGGGTGGGGGGGGGGAAGGATGTCGTCCACTGACTCACCTCACTTGCATGAGTTGCCCCCAGCCTCCCTTTTACTGTCGAGATCTGTCAAGCGGCCGGCAAGACCTTCAGGAAAGCCTTGCCGGCTGCAGAAGAAATGGGCCGGCAGGCGTCAGGATGTGAGGCCTGGCTACAACTGTCCAAAGCTAACTAATAGGGCACTTCCACCTCCCTCATACCCACCCGAGCTTTAATTTTTACCTGTGCACCCTGGAGTGGGTGAGGTCTTAATTAGGGTTTATTTTGGGGGTAGGGCTTATATTAGGCACACGTGTAAAAATCAAGCTAGGACTTACTTTCGGAGTAGGTCGTATTTTCGGGGAAACACGGTAGATCCCCAAGGCGTTTTTTTCAGGAGGCAACTGGACTTGGTTTTTTCTTGAAGACATTTCACTTCTCATCCAAGAGGCTTCTTTAGCTCTGACTGGATGGGAAGGGAATGGAAGGATTTATATTCCTTGGAGACAGCCGGTCATTTGCATCCTTTTAGAGTGCCATTGAGGCCACTTGGAGGTTTGCCTGTGTGCTCGGGGTCACCTGAGGGGTGCAAATGGGTGTGGAGCTTTCTTGGCTGCAGGATGTTTTCTGCTCTGTGTCTCTTCCCTGTTGAAGTCAGACGCAGGCCGTTGGGGATGACTCTGTGTTGGCTGCATCTCAGACTGAAGCGCAAATGGTTCCTGCAGTCTGCAATTTTAGATAAACCTCCAAGTAGCCTCAACGACTCTCTCAAAGGATGCAAATGACCAGCTGTCTGCAAGGAATATAAATCCTTTCGTTCCCCACCATCCGGTCAAGAGCTGAAGAAGCTTCTCGGATGAGAAGCGAAACGTCTTCAAAATAAAAAGAAGCAAGTCCAGTTGCCTCCTGGAAAAAAAGCATCTTTGGGACAACCGTGACTTGGATGACCAAGAATCTCCATAGGTATTTGCTAGATGCAAAGAGGAAAACAAAAATGCTTTGGACTGTGTTCTCATCAAATCTTAAAATTTACCCAAAGCTGGTGACACCAGGACTAGATAGAAATAAATCCCATTAGAAATGTCCAACCTTGGCAACTTTAAGACTTGAGGACTTCAACTCCCATTAGAAATGTCCAACCTTGGACATTAGAACTACATTAGAAATGTCCAACCTTGGCAACTTTAAGACTTGAGGACTTCAACTCCCAGAATTCCCCAGCCAGCATTGCTGGCTGGGGAATTCTGGGAGTTGAAGTCCACAAGTTGCCAAGGTCAGGGATCCAAGCAATAGACCCATAGCAAGCAAAACTCCGAGGCAGGTAGATTCCTGAAAGAATAGCTTTATTGGATATATCATATTGGCACAGATCTGGTGAAAACCGACTCTGAGGTAAAAGTTTTATCACTTTCTCAAAACAATCAGTCACATGATCCAATCAAGGCGCCTGCTTTGTTGCCTGGTGACATCACTCCTCCTTCCTCTGACCAGGCGTGAGACTGTCCTTGGTTCCAGAGAGAAAGTATTTTGTTTTGGCTACAAAATCCCAGCTACCTAAAATCCCCCCCCCTCCCCTCTCCCTCAGCTCCACTGAGGTAACACTGAAGCTTCTAAAATGGCTTCAGCGAGGTTATCTACAGGGTTGACAGCCAAGGTTGGAGACACCTCTGGTCTACATCCAGCGTTTTTTCACTAAAACTCCGCCAGTCGTTAACCGAGAAACACAGATTTAACAATGTGAATATTATCTCTGCATTCTCCGTGTGTGTTTTGGGCCAACTGCAGCGAAGACGAGAGCTATGTTCAATTCTTGGCAGGTTTTACAATTTGACTGCAGGGGGCAGAGCTGCATAGAATAATCCAAGTTTGTCCTTTGACCTGGTTCTTCCTGGTTTGTTTTGCTCTCTCTTCAAGCACCCAGGCACTGTTGTTGGGTTACAGAAAACATTAAGCCAACCTTGAACCCTGGAAGGCTGCCAGAGGGTAACGAACCATGCAAAGGGAAGCTGTCCGTCTTCTGAACTAATTTTCATCAGAATAAACTTGGGGTGTTTTATTCCTCCCTCTCTTATAAAAAAAGAAATGGCCTCTCAAATGGCTCATTTAATCTGAATAAATTGGATGATTCAGAATAACAGCTTCAGGCACTAAGCACCAGCATTTCTTGGGTGTGCAAAAATATATATCTCAGGTGATATAAAATACAAAATCCCGGTGCATTTTAAAGAAAAATTGGGGCGTGTTTGTGTGGGATTGTAAGCACCTATAGGTAGTCCCCAACTTACAACATTCACTTAGTGACAGTTCGAAGTTGCAATGGCAGTGAAAAAAGGGACACGTCAGTTTTCACACATAAAAGACCGTTGCAGCACCCCCATGGTCATGTGATCAAAATTCGGACGCTTGGCAATTGGTTATATTCATGACAGTTGCAGTGTCATGCGGCCACACGATCATCTTTGGCAACTTTCTGGCAAGCAACGTCAGTAGGGCAAGCCAGATTCATTTAATAACTGAGTGACTCACTTAACGGTGACAAAAAGGGTCGTAAAACTGGCCACGACTCACTTAACTGCCTTGCATAGCAATGGGAGTTCTTGTTAGCCAATGGTGACTGTAGTTTGAGGACTACGTGTCTTCTCTGAGGCATTTGCTCTAGGGCAGTGTTTCTCAACCTTGGTCGCTTGAAGATGGGTGGACCTCCACTCCCAGAATCCCCCAGCCAGCGCTGGCTGGGGGATTCTGGGAGTGGAAGTCCACCCATCTTCAAGCTACCAAGGTTGAGAAACACTGCTCTAGGGATATTTTCACTTTTTCTTCTTTATACTGTAACTGCTAATCTAATAGCAAATCCTTCGTAAAAGTTATTGCATTACATTCTTGATTCAATTATCTTTTAACAAGATAAATTTTGGGCTCAATTGTGGCCGTATGTCGAGGATTACCTTGTACCTTCAAGGGTCCCCATAGAGCAGCAACTCAACTCCTCCTTCTTCCTTTGCCTGCCCTTCCTTATCAACCTCCGTCCCAGCCTCACCTGTTGCAAGGTAACACTTTTCGAGCAGGGTTTCCCAACCTTGTCAACTTTTAAGACGGGAGGGGGGGGGACGGGGGACGGACACTTCAACTCAGGGGTGAAATGCTCCCGGTTCGGACCGGATCGCCCGATCTGGTAGCATTGGAGGCAGGTGGTTCGGAGAACCGGTAGCAAAAAACCCTGCGCCCCCTCCCATTGCCCCCCCCCCAAAAAAAGCCTCTGATGATCGCGTGGCTCAGCTGGGATCATCAGAGTCTTTTAAAAGCATTTTTTCTACCACCTCTTCGGCTGAAGAGGTTATAGAAAAAATGTTTTTAAAAGGAAAAAAAGCCTCTGCCGATCAGGCAAGTCAGCTGGGATCATCAGAGGCTTTAAAAAAAAAAGAAAGCCTCTGCTCATCAGGCAACTCAGCTGGGATCATCAGAGGCTTTTCAGCCAAAGAGGTTGTAGAAAAAATAGTTTTAAAAGCTTAAAAAAAAAAAAAGGCCATGCCCACTCAGTCATATTATCCCCGTCCCAAAGCCACGCCCACAGAACCGGTAGTAACTGATTTTACATTTCACCTCTGCTTCAACTCCCAGAATTCCCCAGCCAGGACTCAAAAAAAAAAAAAAAAAAAAACACCACACCAAGGAACGAGAATAGGGAAAGAAATCAAAATACCGTGTCTGTTTTATTGAGAGAGTGTTTGGCTTATTTAAAACAATAACCTATTCCAACGGTAACCAAAACAAGGGTCAGCCCAACAGGCTGTAAAGAACATTCTCCCGCTTGGCCGAGGCCAACGGGTGTTGGGACAAGATGGAGGAGCTGCACGAGAGACCTACGTCCTGGCTTGTGTCTTTCGGCCTCTGTGATTAATGTGACATCTTAAAATGTCATGAGGCTGAAAGGACACACCACCAAGATAAGCTGGAAAGACAACCCTACTTAACATACGGAGCTTCGGACTCTCGCCTCCCTTCTGGCTTGACGCTTTGATGTCACCGAGGTTGGGGGTGGGGTGGGGTGGGGGGAGGCAGGAGGAAAGTCACTGTCCTTGGCTTTGTCTTCCGACCAATTATGGCACTATCGTTGTTTGTGTCTCCAAGGAGAGACCCAAAAGGGCTCAAGTGGCTGGAGTGGGGAATGGCAGGAGGAGGCGGTCGTCTTCCAGGCTCGAGAAGCCAAACAAAAAACACATCGACACGCAAGCAGTGCGCCGCCCCTTGTTTCGTGGTATCTTTGCTCCGGGATTCGGAGAAGACGGTGTGCGAGATTGGGGGAGTTTCTGGTCCAGGGAGACCAAGGAAGTAAGGAAGAGAAGGGGAGGCAAACTCTTCTACTGGCCGAACTTATTCAGGGCCAAAGCACTGCCCTTCCTTCCTAAAGTTGAGGGTGACTTAAAACTCTGGATTGCTTCATGCTACTGCATCATTAAATTGGGACTAATTTAATAACTCTCCCTATGGTCTGCTACTAAAAAAAAAAAAAAAGAGAGGGAGAGAGAGAGAGAGAGAGAGAGAGAGAAGGAAGGAAGGAAGGAGAGAGAGAGAGAGCACATTCTTGAGTGAGGGATGATGGTTCTTAAACTAACGGCAACGTTTTCTTGAACTGTAATTTCCCCATGCCTTCCATTTACCTTTCCCCAACTCTCAAGATTCAGCAGTGAGGACGGGAAGAAAAAACTTTTATGTGTGGTTAAAACGTAAAAGGCTAAAAGATCTCTCACTGCTTTTTTTGTTTTCGATGCAAGGATGTTCTAGAAATATTCTTGGTTTTTTTTACAGCAGGAAAGTGTCAGAAGAAACAGCTAAGCCGTCTGCTTAGGTCTCATGTGTCACCTGAGGGAGAGAGGAGACAGACAGAGTATAGAATTAGGCTCAACTAACGCATTGTATTGTTGGTGTTTTTACACATGCACACACACACGAGGCATAATAGAGTTAAGGGCAAATCCAAATATCCCAACCCCAGCCAGGGATGACTTCAAAGCACAGCATGAAAGAAATGCCAGCTGGGAAGTGAGACTCATATGCACTAAAAGAAGTCGATTGGGAGAAAAAAAGAGTTTTAAACATATTGAATTGTGACAACTCTCTTATATGGAGAGGTTCTGGGTATGGGGTCAATACATTGCACTCATACACAAACAGAGCAAACCCCTCTCTCTTTTAGCACTGATGATGTTACCTAGTAATGAAACGTCTGGAGGAAACAACCAAGCTCAGAGGGCACCAAGGCCTCCACGGTTCAACCCTGAGCTACTAATATTCTCTTCTGTCGGTAATAGTTGCATCTTCCCATATTCCTGGTAGGTGAGCGTGATGGGGCAATAATGCTTGGCTGAGTAGACACAATGTGTAAATGGAGGTTCAAATTGGGGTGACATGCTCCATCCTTTCCCAACTTGGTATCCTGAAAATGCGTTGGATTGCAACTTTCCTCCTTCTTGTGTGAGATAATGGGAGTTGTAGTCCAAGCACTTTTAGAGGGTATTAGAACACAGAATAACAGGGTTGGAAGGGGCTTTGGAGGTCTTCTAGTCCAACCCCCTGCTTAAGGAGGAGAAATTATACCATTTAGGATAAATGGCTGCAAAATCTCTTCTTGAGTGGCAATGGGAGCACCTACAACTTCTGGGGGAAATCTATTCCACTGATTTAATTCTTCTGTCATGATCAGTCAGGATGATGACATTCCCTGACCGAAAAGAGGCCGACTCCCTTCTCTGTTACTGTCATTTTCTAAAGCAAATCCAGAATTTCAAGAATGGGTTTTCTTCTCGTCTCTGGACGACGGATGAAACAGGGGCATATTTGGGGGGCTCCCCCTGCCGTTGCTCAGCCCTCCCAGAAATCCTACCTTGCTGTGGGCTTAATTTGCATTCCTCTGACGCACGTTCTTGTCCATGTTGTTTGCAGTGTTGCCTTTTCTGGGAGACAAGAGGAAAAGTCGGTCAGCTCCAGACCTTAAGGAAGATCTGGGTCAAACTCTAGACTAGACTAGCAAGTAGGCGGAGTCTGGGATCTATGCCAATACTTCACACACACACACACACATATATACATACATACACAACCAATTAGAAAGCTCTCCCTCTCACCTACCCATTGATCAGAGACGGCAGGCAGCCCCCTATTATTCCTCAAAGCTAAAGCCACCCTTTCTCAACCATGCCAACTTGAAAATGCGTCCCAAATTTCCCAGCCAGCTGTGAGCTACGCTGAGATTTCAAGACAGACATTTTAACCAGTGTTTCTCAGCCTTGGCAGCTTGAAGCGTGGACTTCAAATTCTCAGAATTCTGGGAGTTGAAGTCCACCTATCTTCAAGCTGCCATGATTGAGAAAACACTAGCTAAGACATAGCCAACCAGGTCTTTGCGTTTCCCGGCCTTTAAAGGACCCGCTAACCCAACCACCCTCGCTTTGGGCCCCTTGCCTCCCATCTCTTGTTTCCTGCTGCTCCTCTTTCATGACCTGCCAGCTTCAATAAGCAGCATCTGGCTTAACTCTGGTTCTGTCAGGCAGGAGGCAGCCTCCTGAAGAGTCTTCAATTGGGCACATCTAGCTGGCTGTCTAATTTCCCACCCACAAGTGGCCTTGGAGGTGATTTATCAGGAAGGGGGGAGGGGAAAACGGTTCTTTATACTTACAGGGGTGCAGAGCCTCCATCGTCATCTTTGAGCAAAGGAAGAGAAGAAAAGATTGAAGTCAGCAGGAGGATTTTGGTGAATTGTCACATTTATTTATATTTCCTATTTCTAAACCACCCAGTTTCCTCAGAGAGGCTGGGCAATTAACCTCCTTCATCCCCAATTCATTCAACAGTATCTATCTATCCCATCTATCATCCCTCCTCTCATCTATTATCTATTTGTCCCAAAAAATTCCCAGCTTTTAACAGTGTCACTGTCTGAGGAAGAGACGCCACCACACTCACATGTCTACATTCATTTATTTACCTCCCACCTTCGTTATTTTTATACATTCTGTTTTCCCCACAACCACCCTGTGAGGTGGCTTGGGCTGAGAGAAATGGACTGGCCCAAAGTCACCCAGCTGACTTTCCAACCAAATGCGAGACTAGAACTCGCAGTTGCCTGGTGATTGGCCCAAAGTCATCCAGCTGGATTTTGTGCCTAAGGTGGGACTAGAACTCATGGTCTCCTGGTTTCTAGCCGGGTGTCTTCACCACTAGACAAACTGGCACACGGTACTACGACCATATACAGATGACAAGACAACCAGGACAAGGGGTGGCTTCAGCTTGGTCTTCTTCCACTTACCACAAAGGGTTAATATGCAGCAGCAAGAAAGAACTGAATTCAAAGTTAATGCCAGCAAGTAGGCCGTATTTACAAGCTTTTAAGCCAGTTTTTCTCAACCTTAGGCACTGTTAAGTTCCCTGGATTTCAACTCCCAGGTTCCCCCAGCTGGTTGGGGAATTCTGGGAGATGGTCCAGACAGCTTTAAGTACCTGAGGTTGAGAAACACTGTTTTAAGCCAATCAAGAAACCTTCCTATCCTCTAAGACAGCGGTAACCAATTTTTCCGGTTTGGTGGTCCAGCCTGGTGCGGGGATGGGAAGAAGGGATGGTTTTGTGTGAGTGGCAGGTGTGTGTGCGCTCACCCACCACTTGCGCGGCCCTATTCTGAACCGATCATGGCCCAGTAGTGGGCTGCAGCCTGGAGGTTGGGGATCCAAGACAGAAGTAGGGAACTACGGTCTCTTTATGACTTGTGGACTTCAACTCCCAGAATTCCTGAGCCAGCCATTCCTGGTGGCTGGCTCAGGAATTCTGGGAGTTGAAGTCCACAAGTCATAAAGAGACCGTAGTTCCCCACCCCTCCTCTTAAGATTTTCCCTTTCCTTTACTCAATTCAAAGCATTGCTTCAAACACCACGTACAAATGAAGCAGGAGTTTAAGTTTATAAGGGTGAAGAAAGCAGGAATATCTTGCTGCTTACCAAGGAAAAATATAAAGAACAATGATTTAAACCTCCACAGCAAAGGAAGCATTGTTTTAAAAGGAAAGGAGAGTAGGGGGTGGCACAGGAAGAGATGCTGAATTCAGGATTTAGACAGAAGCATTTAGGCACCTCAGGCATTTAAAAGAAAATATTTTTAAATAATGCAAACAAGTGGAGGGGAAAAACAGCGACAAGAATGTTCCCCAAGAGAAGAAATACATTAAAATGTTAGATGCTGACGGCAGTGAAATGAGAAGAGTGAACATTGGCTAAGAAACTTCTCCAGGGACTTCAAAACATTCCTGCCAATTGATTTATGCAGCAGAGTTGTTGTTTTTTTCCCCCCACAGGAGACAAGGAACAAGGGGAGCAGATAAAGTCTCACTCAGCAATGTTTGCACTGTGCCTAAGACCACGGAAGTTGCCACGATCCGAGTGAGATTAAATTCCTTTTCAGGTGTGGAATCCTACCCAAGCTGAAGCATAATTAGGCAACCTAAGCCAGTCACAAAGCCAGCTTGGTAGTGGGCAAACCTTCAGGAGCATCTTAAGGCAGGGGTCCCTAACCCCCGGTCTGTGGACCGGCACTGGGCCACGGTTTGCCAGAAACTGGGCCGCGCAAAGAAGAGAAGCCCCATCCGCGGGATGCAGGCAGCACGCAAAACCACACCCCCTCCGGTCCACGGGAAAAACTCTCTCCACAGAACCGGTCCCTGGTGCCCAAAGGTTAGGGTCCATTGCCTTAAGGCATCTCAACCCTAGAGAATCTGACCGCTTACCGACCTTCAAATCCATGGCAGAATTAGCTGTCATTTTAAAGGGACAGATTCAACCAACCCTCTCCAAATTATAAGTGGCATCCCCCCCCCCCCCCCGGGAAAAGTATCAACAGCAAATTTTAAAAAGCTGTTGTGGCTCTGTTACCGGAGCCTGTGTCATCGGCAGGAGAGGACTCCGAGAGTGAAGGAGAGGAGTTGGCAAGGCCTCCCTCTCCAGGACCCTCCTCTCTGGCAATGCCTTCGGTGTCCGCCGAAGGGCAAGAGATAGGGCCGGGGCCAAGCACGTCCACGCAGCCACAGATGGACAGTGATGAGGGTAATGAGTCTTGGCTGGATCCACGCCAGCGTCGCAGAGATAAGCACGCGCAACAGAAGAAAAGGCGTGCCCGAGATTGAACGTCTGTTGGTGTGTCTGCGTGTGGTTGGGGACAGAACAAAAGCTTTCCATTCTCAGCCTCTGTTCATACATGACCTCCTTGTAATTTCCACTGTCGGAAAAATCCTGATACAGATGCACATAAGAGCATCTTCGCCCCAGCTGTTTGCCGAGACTCTGCTGCAGGAAGAGGACTTTGGCCCTTATCAAGCCAGGGGATCATGCATGATGTCATAAACCCCAGGGTCGATTTAACTCACTTCATAAATGTAATCAAACTTTTGAAGAATGAAATGCCCCAGTCAAAAATAGAGCTAGGTTTATGTCTTTAGACATTTATTGCTTTGATATCATAATGAATAAGAAGAAAGCTGCTTCTATGGGGGAGTATGTGGGCAGTGGTCACACAAAGCCGAAAAATAAATTAACGGAGTGATCCATATTAAGTGAAAACACACAAGGATCTCACCAACCTCCCACTCAGGTTTTGACAGACATGAAGGAATTCTCTTATTTCAGGGGTCCCCAGTTGCAGCCCACTACCAGGCCGCAGCCTGTCCAAAATCAGGCCACAAGAGAGATGGGTAAGTATGCCCATGCGAGCAGAGGGTGCTTGCTCATAAAGCTGCCTTCGTGCAAATGGAGCTTCACGTGCAAGTGCCCTCCACTCGCAATCTTTGCGCATGAACGCAATGTGCCTGCCATATGTGCGTGCATGTGCCTGCTAGTCACACACAGACTCCCCGTGTGCTGGGTGGGGCTGCCAAGCTGGAAAGGTTGAGGACCACTGTCTTATTTGGTAAAGGTAACGGAAGTATTTAGGAATCGGACCAAGCAGGACTCCGAGGACCATAACGTACATCAGTTTTTCTCAACCTTGACAACTTTAAAACGTGTGGACATGCTGGGCTGGGGAATTCTGGGAGTTAGAAGTCCACATGTCTTAAAGTTGCCGAGATTGGGAAACACTGCCGTACATCTCTCAGCCCCGTTTCGATTCCTCCCACTGAAAATTACAGGGAGTCCCCGGTTCATGACGACTTGTTCAGCAGTTGTTCAAAGTTGTGACACTGCTGAAGAAGTGGTACTTAAGACCAGTCCTTGAGGTTCTGGCTGATTTTTGCTTAATGATGGCAACAGAGCCTGCTGGGATTGCTGTCACTAAGTGATGATGTCATGCTTTGTCACATCATTTAATGACAGAAATTCTGGTCCCAATTATCATGGTTAAATGAGGAAAACCTCTTTATAGGCACCAAAGGCTATTAAGAGTCTTCAGTAATTAAGGTTTTGCTCAAAATGCCACTTGGGAGGATGCCAGCCCTTCCTCGACTCACACACAGTGGTACCTCTTTACTCTACTGTTTCAAAACCAGTTGAATTTGGGCACTGGATACAGTTTGATGTGAAAACGTTGTCCTGGTACTCATCGTTTATTTAGTACCTGAACTGCTGCGACAAGAAGAGGGGGATGGCCACAGAGAACGGACAGGAAGTCAGCCATGCTGGGAAGGTTGCTGCAAAAAGAAGCTGGGAACGGCCACAGAGGGTGGACAGGAAGTCGCTGACATAGGAAAAGGGACAGATAGGAAGTCCTTCCCGGCCAAAACAAAGGATCATGGGGAAAGTCACATGGTCTGTTTGGTACTAGTCTGGTACTACTACTTTGGTACTACTACTACTCGCCAAGCTTTCCTGACCTGCTCCTGAGTTGCCATAGGCAGGGGGATAGAAGCGCCCCCTCACACCTCAGTCAAAACAAAACACATCCTAGCCACCCGAAGTCAAGGCCATCTCCATGGAGATCCACAAAGGCCGGAGGGAGTGACTTCCACGACCCGTGAAATTTCTTTGTTAGGGAATGTGAAGGGGGCAACAGGATCAGAGGCAAGGTGTGAACTGGGTGAAGTCAGAGTTGGCTTCACTTAGTTCGTGCCGACATCGCGCTCCTAATAAACAACTGGATTTTTCTTGCTAAATGGTTAGGGGCTCCTGCTTTTATTAGGGCATTGGTCAGAACCTTGTTTTTAGTTCTTGTCACGCCTCCCAGAACCAATTAACAAGTAATTACACTTAAAACTTATATAGCGCTTCACAGTGCTTTATAGCCCTCTCTAAGCGGTTTACAGAGTCAGCCTCTTGGCCCCAACAATCTGGGTCCTCATTTTACCCACCTCGGAAGGATGGAAGGCTGAGTCAACCTTGAGCCTGGTGAGATTTGATCTGCCAAACTGCTGGCAGCCGGCAGGCAGCAGAAGTAGCCTGAAGTACTGTACTCTTAACCACAGCGCCACCACAGCTCTTTAGTACCACTATATTATAATATTATATTATTGTAATATTATTATTAATCTCCCCCTTGCCCATTCCAGCACCTTACCCTCAGGAACCTCATTGGGCTTTCTCCTCTTCTCATAGATGAAGATTATTGTGACCAGGACCAGCACCTCCGCTACAATCCCCAGGAATGGCCACAGAGCAGCCAGCCGGCTCCGCACCCTCAGGGTCACGTCCGCACTCCCTTCGCCTAATTCATTGGTGCCATTGCACACGTATTTCCCGGGGTCCTTCTCCAGGTTCAAAGAAATGATCCGAAGATCTGTCCTGGTGCCATTGGATTGGATGTAGAATCTTTCTTCGGTGCCGTTGGCAACAGGCTGGAGGAGAAGACGGGTGTCACTAGCTACAGAGACAGACCCTTAGAAAGAGCTACAGGTAAGTCCTCCACTCATGACCACAATCGAGCCCAAAATTTCTGTTGTTAATTAAGACAGCTGTTAAGTGAGTTTTGCCCCACTTTACGGCCTTTCTTGCCACCGTCGTTTTAATGAATCGCTGCAACTGTTACGTTAGTAACACAGTCATTAAGTGAATCTGGCTTTCCCACTGACTGCTTGTCAGGAGGTCGCAAAAGGGGAAATCACATGATCCTGGGACACGGCAGCCGTCATAAGTATGAACCGGTTACCTGAATCCCATGGCCGCAGGGATGCTGCAATAGTTTTAAGTGTGAAAGTCAGATTTTTCAGCACTATTGTAACATTGGTCACTAAATGAACTGTTGTTAAGTTGAGGACTATCTATATTCTTGTAGATGACTCATAGTGTCAAAAGGAACCATTTCCACACAATGCCCAATGCAGTCTGGACACCAAAAGGGAAAACCTGAGTGGGGCAGCTTCCTTAGGACTAATGAGATCACCACCATATCCAGCTCAGTCTCTCACCTCAGGTGAGATGGGTAGCATATACATTTGATAAATATATTTTTGCCCCTCACCCCTTGGGCCTTCTGAAAGAGCCATCAACTGGCATAGGGGTCCAAGAGTGGCATGCAACCATGGGGGTGGCTCATGGCCCTCCACCTTTTTTATCTTTGGTTTAATTCTGCTTTTGGAATATATTGATGAAAAATGGCTGTATACAGGTAGTACTCGCCCGCCCTTAAGCTCAGAATAATGCTATTTAAAAACTGGTACCAGGTTTCTAGTCAACAGCAGGAATCAGCAAATATTGTATGGGTGGTCCTTGATTTAAGCCCACCATGGAGTCCAGAATTTCGATTGCAAGGCAAGCCAGTTGTTAAGTGAATTTTGTCCCGTTTTATGACCTTTTTTTTGGCCACAGTTGTTAAATGAATCACGGGGCCGTTAAGCGCATCTGGCTAGGTTATAAACGGTGATCATGTGACCGTGGACAGTGCGACTGTCAGAAGTACACACTCTTCCTTTTCTTTAATTACCAACGTTAATCTATTCATTTCTGCACATTCCAATATTTTCTTAATTACTTCTCCCTCTAAAGGGATTTAGATAATTGATGAATTAATATAAGAAATTTGGGAAGAATGATGTAACAATCTAAATGAAAATATAACGGTATGATAGAAATATAATATGAAAATGATGGAGGAGGGAGAAGACGCAAAATATGTACTCAGATGAAACACTGAATGATTAAGGATGTACTGTTTGTATGTTTGTTTTACAAAATAAAAAACTTTTTTTAAAAAAAAAGTACACACTCAAATTTTAAGCACGCAATGAAGGCGATGCTGCAATCGTGGTAAGTGTGAAAACCGATCATAGGTCACTTTTTTCCAGTGCCACTGTAGCTTCGAAATGTCACTAAATGGATGGTTGTATAGGGTCTCAGGCTTGAGCAGGGGTTAGACTAGAAAACCTCCAAGGTCCCTTCCAACTCTGTTATTCTTTATAAATCTCTCCATCCAGTCTTACTAAAAAGAATGGTGATAAACAATACTTGGAAATGGACATCAGGTCTTCTGATAGCAAAATCTCATCTTATTGGCTAGTATCAAGGGGAAGAAATCTCACCATAACATGCAAGATGAGGCGAGGACTGGTGTACTGCCCCAGCTACGAACCCCAAAGAACGCAGCACACACAAAGTCCGCACAAACCTTAGTTTACTAATTAAGGACTACTAATGAGCTTTCTTAGTAGTTGTTCGGACACAAGTACAATTTAAATCAGTCTTTTCTGAACAAGGGCTGTTAATTTAACTTCATTAACAGCCGACAAGAATCCAAAGAGTAATAACTCAATTCTGAGGCACAGTATTTCAGACAACCATAATCTTACTGTGGTTGGCAGAATGCCCAGAAGCAATTTGCAGGAAAACTGATGAGAGAGAAACAAGAGCCGAATCAAAAGTTTCTGGAATCAAGACGCAAAGGAATATGAACGAAGTTGTTTCCTGCAAATTGCATCAGTCGTCGTCCTTCCTTAAATAGGCTAGGGGAGTGGCCAATTAGCCCCAAGCCTTACTCTCGAGGAGACCTCCTCCTGAGGAGCTACTCCTGCCTTTTAACAGCTCTGCGCGCTCGTGCATCAAGAGGCTCCTCCTCTTATTCCTCTTCACTTATGGGAGCTTCTGAAGGCCCTGGCTGATTCCCCGCCTCTGGCACCACATCTTCTCCAGCCTCATTGTCTGACTCGAGCGCCAGCTGCACAGGCTCCTGGTGTAGCACCACACCAGCCTCCTTGCTGTCAGAATCAGCTACTAACTGCACAGGCCACTGACGGGCCACAACAACTGGCTGGGAGGGGAGGGGCAAGGAGAGGCCAGGCAAGGCGCCCCTCGATATGAGTGACATAGTTGGCCATGCCCACCCAGTCACATGCCCACACAGCCACGCCTCCCAGCAGTCATTAGGGCAGAGAACCGGTTGTTAAATGATTTGAATTCCACCACTTCTTGCAAGTCGAGGTCTCCCTGACTTCAAATGGGTTTTTTCTTTTTACATGTTAATTCCTTTTATGCATGTTAATCTCTCTTCCATATGCCACCTCTGAAGCAAGATCCTAACTGGAAAGGCCGCAGGTGGATTCTTAACATGGTTTCTCCATAGGCAGCCAGGGCACTGTCAGAATATTCATGACTGGGAAGACATGGTAACAAGGTCAGCCAATGAATTGGCATAGCAACTAAGTCAGCCAATTAGAGCTGTTTAGAAACAGAAGCTTAAGCAAGAAGTCTGGGCGTGGCTTAGTTATTAAGCTCTGAGCTCTGAAGCTGAAAACTAGTCTGTCTGCTGAATTGAAACTAAAACTACTCTGCTGTGCTCTGCTTGTAACTGCTACGTTGGAAGAATCTGCTGTTGGTATTGTACATTTATTCATGTGTTATTATGTATATAAAGAGAAGCTGAATCAGTTTACCTGTGTGTGCTTTCTGGATTTGATTTTGCAACAAACTCTGACAGACACCTACTGGGGAGGAAGCAGAATCCTGGGTTTGTGGCAGGAAAGGCACTCACCTGAGGCACCTGGTCTACCACCTTATACCAAGTCCACTGGGTAATAGCAGGGTAAGAATTGCACTTGCAAGTCAGGATTATTGCGTCTCCTTCATTTCCATGCTCTGTCTTCTTGTAGGGCACCACATGGGGAGTAACTGCAACAGGATAGGTCACAATCAGTTCAAAGAGGGGTCAGAGGAGATGTTGATTAAGCAAACACTTCTGCCTATAAACTCTCATCCATCATGAAGAAGCCTTGGCAGCAGGTGACAAAAAGGTCTGGGAGTTATTGGGGGACAGATGTGCACAAGGCTGGTAAAACACAGGAAGTTCATCTAGCAATAGCAATAGCACTTAAAGTTATATACCACTTCATGGTGCTTTGCAGGCCTCTCTAAGCAGTTTACAGAGTCAGTCTCTTGCCCCCGACAATCTGAATCCTCATTTTACCCACCTTGGGAAGGATGGAAGGCTGAGTCAACCCTGAGCCAGTCAGGATCGAACTGCTGGCAGTCAGCAGTTTGCCTGCAATGCTATTCTAATTAGCTCGTTATTTACCAACCACCCTCAATTTAGCGTCCTTGGGATGAATTCAGTTATGAATGCCACAATTCCAGTATGGAAATTGCAATCCAATTTACCTAGAGCAGGGTTTCCCAACTATGGTGACTTTAAGATGTGTGGACTTCAAGCCTCAACTCCCATGGCTGGCTGGGGAATTCTGGGAGTTGTAGTCCATGTGTCTTAAAGTTGCCAAGGTTGGGAAACCCTGATCTAGAGAACACCAATCTGGTCTCCATTAATAGAAACAGACTTCCACAAGTTTGCTTGCTAAACTTAGGACTGCTCGGATTTCCTGGAGACAAATATTTGGGTACTTTTATGGTCCCCTCTAGGTGATGAAAAATGGACAGCACAACCACTAGTACTTAAAACTTATATACCACTACATAGTGCTTTACAGCCCCTCTCTAAGCAGTTTACAGAGTCAGCGTCTTGCCCCCAACAATCTGGGTCTTCATTTTACCAACTTCAGAAGGATGGAACGCTGAGTCAACCTTGCATTGGTCAGGATCGAACTCCTGGCAATGCAGAGTCACCCTGCAATACTGCATTCTCACCACTATGCTACCACGGTCCGTCCTTCCTTCCCACTTATCACTTATTTACCGCTTCACAGTGCTTTACAACCGTCTCTAAGCGGTTTACAGAGTCAGCATATGGCCCCCAACAATCTGGATCTAATACTGACCTCAGAAGGATGGAAGGCTGAGTCAACCTTGAGCCAGTCAAGATCGAACTCCAGGCTGTGGGCAGGGTTTTTGCCTGCAATACTGGCATTCTAAGCACTGCACCATCAGGGCTCCTTTCTTCCTCAGACTAGAGAGGCAACCCATGAGCAGTGGCTCGTTCCTCATGGACTTGACAACACAAAGTCCTTCTCCTCCATGTAAAACTTCACCAAAGGAAAGAAAAAAAGCACCCACAACAGTTACCTTTCACGAATACCGTTCCTTTCGTGAGGGGCGTGGTGTCAAAGACGCAGTGGTACTCTCCGGAGGTTTCGTAATCCACTTTGGGAATCCTAGGATTCAAAAACACACACACAAAGACAAACCAGCAGGTGACAAGGAGAACACACAAAGCCATCACAGGAGGAGAACTGGGAATGGATATTGACAACTACAACTTCACTCGGCAAAACGCAATGGTCACGGAGTAAGAGGAGCTTCATTCCAGCATCACCCAGGAGGAAAAAAAAACACTAGGAAATGCTGGATCAGATTTTCTATCAAAGCGTAGGACGCACACTTAAAACTCCGCTGAGCCATGCCTAATTAAAAGTTTCTGGGACAGAGGCCTGGAATCTTGAGAGGAAAAGTTCCAGGAAGCCGTCACAATAAAACAATAGAGTGAATAGAACAATCCCGATTGTCCAAGAAGCTTCCATATATAGATGTAGCTGAAGAGTGCAAATAGCCAACCAATCACTCCTTCTAAGGATGGCGTCTCTTGTTTTAATGCACAAGGCACTGGCACCAGGCAGCCAGGTTGACAAGCTTCTACTGATTGCCTCTCTGGTGGAATAATACCACTTTTTCCAAGGGATTTCTCTTTGTTTTAGTTAAGTCCGATCAGAAATGAACACAGGCAGTCCTCAACTTACAGCCATTCGTTTGTTCAAAGCTAGAGCAACAGGGTGGTCTAAAGCACCCTGTTATTAAGACCAGCTGCCTGCAATTACTGCAGGTTCAAATCTCGCCAGGCTCAAGGTTGACTCAGCCTTCCATCCTTTCTAAGGTAGGTAAATTGAGGACCCAGTTTGTGGGGGCAATAAGCTGACTTTGTATAAATATACAAAAGGATGAAGGCTATTGCTTAATGCACTGTAAGCCGCCCTGAGTCTCCGGAGAAGGGCGGCATATAAATCAAATTTTAAAAAAAACAAAAAAACAGAAACCAAGTCCTTGCACTTACAACCAATGCAAGCCATGTCATCAAAGTTTGGTTGCTTGAAACCTGGCTTGTACAGGTAGTCCTCGACTTACAAGTTGTTCACTTAATGACCATTCAAAGTTAACAATGGCGATGAAGTGACTTATGACCATATTTCAGAATTACGGCCATTGCAGCACAGTTGATAAGTAAGTAACCTGGTTGCTAAGGGAATCCGTTACTAACTTAACAACTGCAGTGATGCACTTAACAAATACGGCAAGAAAAGTCATAAAATGGGGCAAAAGTCACTTTACAAATTTCTCACTTAGCAGCATAGATGTTGAGCTCAATTGTGGTCATAAGTTGAGGAATGCCTGTATTTACATTGGCAGCATCCTGGGGGTGACATGCTCGCCATTTGTGACCTTCCCAGCCCTCCTTGCTTCACTTAAAGACCACATGATTCACTCAATTGCTGTGATTTGCTTAACCATAGCAAAAAAGGTCTTAAAATTGGGCCTCATTTAACAGCTGCTTTGCTTAACAACAGAAATTCTGGTCTCATTTGTGGCCCTAAGTTGAAGACTATATGTATTATATAGCTACCCTTCTGGTTAAGTTGCTGGTGGAAGTAATTCTCCCTTTTCAGGAGATGTACAGTACAGGTAGTCCTTCACTTATGACAACGGAGCCCAAAATTTATGTTGCTAAGTGAAACAGTTGTTAAGTGAATTTTGACATATTTTATGACTTTTCTTGCCACAGTTGTTAAGTGCGTCACTTCAGTTGTTAAGTTAGTAACATGGTTGTTAAGTGAATCTGGCTTCCCTACTGACTTTGCTTGTCAGAAGGTCGCAAAAGCGGATCACATGACCCCAGGACACTGCAACCGTCATAAATATGAACCAGTTGCAAAGCATCCAAATTCTGATCATGAGACGATGGGGTTACTGCAACGGCCATAAGTGTGAAAAATAGACTGGTAAGTCACTTTTTCCAATGCCATTGTAACTTTAAACGGTCACTAAACGAACTGTTGTAAGTCGAGGACTACCTGTATACCTTTAAATACTGTGGGCTCTTGCAGTACTTAGCGGTTGGATTAAAACCAGATTAAAAAAGAAAAGCAATTATTTTGCACACTGCATTTCCCCATTTCTGTGTTACACCTGCCACCGAGTGCCAACTTGTTCTCCCAACTCCTTTCTAATTTAGAATGAAGCCAGTCCTGCCCAACGTTTAAGCACCAGAGATTTCTGTGCCATGACAGTCAGCTAAGAATTATGCTTTCTGCAGGCAAAACATGCATACAACTCATGACTCCCTTCCCCACCCTATTAGCAAGATTCCAGGGGGAGGAGGAAGAAATGGTTGTTATTGTCTTTTAGTGCCATAAAAGCTGCTGCATGTTCTCCATTAAAACAATTTATTTCAAAACTGAAATCAAAAATTTGTTTTGCTGACTTTGGGTACGTCTTACTGTGAAAAATGATTCCACTGAACATTGTTATGTGGGCCAAAGAAGCTTGTTTCCCCATTTTGCCTTTGGAGGAAATATTCCATTTGGAGAAGTTGCTGATCTGAGATTCCTACTTTAAAAAAAAAAAAGATTTTTATCCCATCTTTTCTCTCATATACAACTCAAGGCGATGAACATATAAATATTTCTTCCTCCTCCTCCTTTCTCCACAACCACCATTTGAGGTGGATTAGGATGAGAAAGTGTGACTGGCCAAAGTCACCTTGCCAGTTTTTCATGCCTCAGGTGGCACTAGAAGTCAGTCTCCCGGTGATAGGACCAAAGTCACCCAGTTGGTTTCATGCCTAAGGCAGGACTAGAACTCAAGGCTCTCCTGGTTTCTAGACCAGCACTTGAACCATTACACGAAACTGGTTCTGATCATTAACTCATGCTTACTTTACTTTAAAGTCACCTACATGTAGGAGGTAAAATCCAGAGCAGTCACATTGGAATCAAGCTTTGTCTCCCCTTTCATCCAGTAATTGCCTTTGATAGGTGTTGGTGCTTCACTTATGTTACATGAAATGATCACATTTGATCCAGCAGTTACTTCAGGAGAGGTTGCGATTTTGGCCCCTGGTTGTTGAAGAAGAAAACGAAAGTTAGGTTAGGATATCATGGGCTTAAAAGAAGAAAAGAACCCTGGGTTTTGACACGGGCTTCAGTCACCTGCGTGCCTGAGAAAAAGCAGCATAGTAACTGCATTTAACTCCTATCGTTAAAATCAAAGTTCTGAGGTTTTAAACAATGTGGTCAGTTGTACAAGTCATGAAACACCAGGAAGTTAACACCCATATAACTATCTGAGGGATTTGAAGGGAAAGAGATTAGGAAGCAGAGGTAACGATAATTTCTAAAGCAGCACATCACCTTCTAAGCACATCATTATTCTAATGTTAACTAATAACAAATACAACTACCGGGATAAATAAAATAGTGTATCCTATGCATACAGACCCATTGAATGGTTCAAAACATTCTGGGTGCTTTATTTGTGATTTTGGAGTATTGGCTTGTTTTTTTCTGCTTAAACACACGTGCACAATCTTCTCCTTTCTGAACAATCACCACAGAGAAACATCTGCCCCCCCCCTCTCTCTCTCATATTGGAGGAAAGGACTATATTGATGAAACGTGGCTGTATACAGGTAGTCCTCCACTTATGACCATAGTTGAACCCCAAGTTTCCATTGCTAAGCAAGACAGTTAAGTGAGTTTTGCCCCATTTGACCACCTTTCTTGCCACTGCTGTTAAGTGAATCACTGCAGTTGTTAAATTAGTAACACAGTTGTTAAATGAATCAGACTCTGCTTGTCAGAAGGCTGCACAAAAGATGGATTACATGACCCCAGAACACTGCAAGTCATAAATACATGAGTTGCCAAGCATCCAAATTTTGATCATGTGACCATGGGGACGCAGCAATGATCGTGTGACAAATGTATGTTGTATTAATGTTTCACGACCTTTCTTGCTGAGTCAATCTGATCAACACTTGTTGAGTCAATCACTGCAGTTAAGTAACACGGTTGTTAAGTGAATCTGATTTCTCTATTGACTTTGCTTGTCAGAAGGTCGCAAAAAGGGGATCCCATGACCCTGGGATACGGCAACCGTCATAAAAATGAACCAGTTGCCAAGCGTTTTAATTTTGATCAGATGAACATAGGGATGCTGCAATGGCTGTAGAAGTGTGAAAAATGGTCATAAGTCACCTTTTTTCAGTGCTTTTTTGAACGGTCACTAAATGAACTGCTGTAAGTCGAAGACTACCTGTATTAGCCTTCACCTGCCACAAAAGAGAATTTCTCACTTGATGAGGTATAAATAAGACAAAGTCATAATTGGCATAGCTATTTTCTTGGCATTTCTTTTAGAGAGAAAAAAATTGCACCCTAGTTCGTATGCACAGAGTACCCAAAAGGAGTATGTGGCTAGTTTCATGCTTTGTTTCTTTTGGAATGCAATAAATAATGACCGTCCCTTGAACTGCAAACAAACAGTATGAAATGTAGTGGGTGTGCAACCCATCCCTTCCCCCCCCCGTTCCCCCCCCCCCCAAAAAAGGCACTGGGCTTTCCCTTCACCATCTATACAAAGATTTTGAGCACTGAAAGAAGTTTATGCAAGCTAACCGTTATATTTAATCACCATTTTCAAGAGAAATATACAGCTACGAATATTTTCCCCGCACATAATCAAGCCAACTCATCCAAGTCGGCCATTTCTCGTGAGGCGGGGTATAAGGTAAAGGACACTCCTGAGACTAGGCTCCTAAAAACAAGTGTTTCCATTTATCAAGAATTATTTCATTTTGTTTTTAACGAGCCATCGATAGGACAAGCCGTTTGCAAACTTCCTTCAGTTAAGAAACAGTTTCTCACACAAGACACTCCTTCTGTGAAACTTCTACAAGGGGAGCTGATCTACTTGCAGAGGTTTTGAAGCATGGACCTAGTTCATATGTTGCATTGGCTAGGTTGGCTGGGCTGCACCATCACCTCATATGAACCAAGGATATAGGAATCTTAGCCTCCGGAATGAGAAAGTCATTCCTGATCCCACTGAGGAATCCTTGATCAAGCTTTCAAGGGGCTTCAGGAGAATTTGAAAACCAAGAGTGAAAACGCTCTTGCCCGTAAAATGCAAGTTCAACATGTCAGCCATTAGCTGTATCATTTTATTTCGCCTTCTGTTAGAAATTTGACTTGCAGCTTTGCAAATGGAAGGATAGCCGGCTGGTCGTCCCACAGCCAAGGAGAACTACTAAGCATATGACCTAGGTGGCAAAGAGAAAAACTGGCCTTTTTAGAAAACAGTTGCCCGTTTACAACAAGCACAAATACAGTTCGGACTCACCGCCGCAAAATTGTGCTCCTTGTAAAGTGGGGAAGCAAAAAAAAAAAAGAAGAAGAAGAAGAAGAAGCACAACCGCACAGATGCAGGAAGAAATATTAGAGGAGGAGGAAGGGGACGACTAGGTTTGGAAATGACTGGTGGAAGCAGCGCTGAGGCAATCTGGTCTCTGTTTCTAATGGGAACATTTGGGGGAGGTGGGGGAGAGAGGCAGCATTCCAACGGATCCCAAAAGGGTAGGATCGTTTTAAGAGGAGAGGTCACACAATCCTTTTTGTTTGAGCAAGGCTGCAGGGAGATCCCTGCGGGGTTCACAAGGGTTCGGGAAACCGAGGCGCATGGAAGGAGAGGCAGGCACAGGGACGGTAACATTGGAAACATTTCGGGTTGTCCGTGGGAACGCCGACACTTAAGAGTCAGCCACTCACGCTTAGTGACAATGACATTCGCCTGGGAACGGATCCATTTGACTTTGGGGCTCTTCGACAAGTGGTTACGATCGGGGTCGTTGCTGGCCCAGCATTCGTACGTGCCAGAGTCTTCGATCGTGAGGTTAGTGATGGCGATAGTGCTTGAAGAGTGCTGCTGGTAGGTTGCGCTGATTTGGACCCGGTTCTGCCAGGCGCCATCCCACAGCTGTATGGCAGTACCATTGGGGTCAGTTCCTTCAAACCACCACTGGATTTCGGGGATGGGGTTGCCAATAGCCTCACAGTGCAGTTCCACACTTTCCTCTGTCAGTTTCTTTTGAGAGAGAGGTGACTTTATAAAGCCAGCTATGAGTTGAAGAGGTATTAGTAACAAAGGGTTAGTGCAAAAAAATAAATAAAAAATAGTGCATTCAAAAAGAAGGTATTTCTGATTTTTAAAAAGGGATAACAGTAACTCACAAACCTATGAAGCAGCAGAGCCTGGAAACCTTCTCCTCCCTTGGTGAATGGCTGAGGATGGACAGGATTCTAACAAAAAGTATCACTAGCGATATTAATATGTTCCAGCCATATTCTTTGCCTTTACTCAGACTAAGATTTTTCTTTTTTTTAAAAAAAGGTATTCCAACTAAGAGGTGAAACAGAACCCGTTTACTCTTTGTTATTTAACTTTCACACTATGGAGGCTGCAACAATACTAATGCATCTTCCTAAAAGCAATATTGACTATTTACCAAATAACAGTTCAATGATCTGTTCCATCACCGTGTCCTCAAGCAACTTGCAAATTAGGACCCTGAAAAAATTCACAGGCTGTTACAGAACTCTCAAAAGAAGCTTGTACACATGGAAAAGGCACAACCCAACCTCCTTTATGCATGTTTTTGCCATTAAACCACGATAAAAAAAGATGGTTTACTAGTCTTCTCCTGAGTTCTTTCAGAGCATTATCTTTCCATACAGGAGACTGCTTCCAGCAATAAATCCATGAGGAAGACCTGGGAGTACTGAGTATTTTGCCCCAGCATAACACCTGCACAAAGCAGCTTCTCAATTCTAATTTCGGATGCAGTTATTGTTGAGTATTGATGATGTGCAAATATATTGTTATTATGACATTACTTGTTTACGCCCCTGCTTCAATGATCAGCTCAGTTCATCTTCTTCTCCAGGAAAGGATAATAATGGAGGTAATTGAGGGAAAAGTGAATGATCAGCACATTCACAGCATTGTTTGTGCCAATCACTATCCTGTCAAAGGATTGGTGTACACAATTTGTTCTCACAGCGAAACTGATCAGTTTTTCTTTCTAGGTATGCAAAAATACAAATATAAGGCCTTTCATAAAGGAAGTCAGAAAGGAACATGTCCTCATGTGTACCGCACCAAAGAATTGTTTCTTTGCTCACCCTTGCTTTAAATACATGGTCAGCTGATCCATACTTGCTAATTCCTGACTGTAGTGACTGAATAGCATTTTAGGTTTAAAATTTAAAACGCATGGATTAGGCCTACTCTTTCTGTCCTAGCCAACCCAATTTGCTTTCTGGGCCTTCACTCACTCGGCCATGCAACTAGATGGACATGCCTTGGAAAATGTAATGCATGCCTTGCCTAAAGCAATTAGTGTTGAAAATCAAAACATGGCACAATTTAGGTGCTCCTACCAAGAACAGTAGGAGAGCACCACACTAATGAAGCAATTAAATTTATAATGTATTTCTGTTGGGGCTCAAAGCGTTTGCTTATTGTACGGCGGTTCTGTAAACACGAGGCTTTGCAGAAGGAAACAAGAGACGCCGTGACTGAGATTTTGTGGCAGGATCTGCTGAGGCCCTTTAAGAAGATTAGAAAGTGACAGGAAACATGTGGGGAAATCTCTTGTTTGTGCTGAAGTGGAAGGAACATTTCTACATTCACACTCTGGAATGATGTGGCACAGTAACAAACAAACAAACACATTTGTTTCAAGGGTTGAGGCTGTTGTTTGTTTTCAAAGTTAGACCCAAGACTTGCCTTACTCCAAATGGCAACAAAAAGATTCTTAAAACTCAGAATATTTGATTGAGGACTACCTGAAGAGAGGGGAAAACCCACCACTGTAGAGATTCTCAGTCATCCAGGTCATGGTTGTCCCAAAGATGCTTTTTTCAGTAGGCAACTGGACTTCCTTGGTTTTTGTTTGAAGACATTTCGCTTCTCCAGCTCTGACTGGATGGTGGGGAATGGAAGGATTTATACTCCATGACCAGCTGTCTGCAAGGAATATAAATCCTTCCATTCCCCACTATCCTGTCAGAGCTGAAGAAGCTTCTTGGTTGAGAAGTGAAACATCTTCAAAGAAAAAACAAGAAAGTCCAGTTGCCTCCTGAAAAAAGCACCTTTGGGACACCACTGTTTATCATCTCTAGTTCACTGCCAGCCCTGTTGCTTAATCCTAATTACTCTACAGAGTATAGTCCTCGATTTATGACCACAATTGGGATCATAATTTCCATTGCCAAGCAAGGCAGTAAGTAGTGCCCAACTATGCGACCTTTCTGCTACAGTTATTAATCAAATCAGTGTGATTCTTAAGGGAATCACCTGGTCATTAAGCAAATCCAGCTTCTCCCATTGACTTTGTTTGTTGGAAGCCATCTGAGAAAGTCACAAATGATGATTATATCACTAAATGCATGCCAGTTGACAAGTGCTTGAATGAGGACTGGTCATGTCAGTTTTCCCAGTGCTGCTGTAACTCTGAAAAGTCGCTAAACGAACTGTTGTAAATCGAGGACTACCTCGGTACCAGGACTACCAGGCCACCCCAACGATGCCCTTGAAGTGATGTCTCAGTGCCTGGAGGCTGTGCGGATCTGGATGGGGAGGAACAGGCTCAAGCTCAACCCTTCCAAGACTGAGTGACTGTGGCTCCCGGCATCCCGATATAGTCAGTTGACTCCATCGCTGACTATCGGGGGCGAGTCCTTGGCCCCCACAGAAAGGGCTCGCAATCTGGGAGTCCTCCTGGATATGCAGCTGTCCTTGGAGGAACATCTGATGGCTGTAACCAGGGGGACCTTTTATCAGGTTCGCCTGATTCGCCAGTTGCGGCCCTTTCTTGATCGGGATTCCCTGTGCACAGTCACTCATGCCGTCACCTCTCGCCTTGACTACTGCAATGCTCTCTACATGGGGCTCCCCTTGAGGGGCACCCGGAGGCTCCAACTGGTTCAGAATGCAGCAGCGCGGGTAGTGATGGGAGCAGCATGGCGCTCCCATGTAACACCGCTCCTGCGCGAGCTGCACTGGCTCCCGGTGGTCTTCCGGGTGCGCTTCAAGGTGTTGGTTATCACCTTTAAAGTGCTCCATGGCATCGGGCCTAGCTATCTTCGAGACCGCCTGCTGCTACCGACGACCTCCCAGCGACTCGTGCGCTCCCACAGAGAGTGCCTCCTCAGGGTGCCATCAGCCAAACAATGTAGGCTGGTGACCCCCAGGGGGAGAGCCTTCTCTGTGGGGGCACCTACCCTCTGGAATCAGTTGCCCCCAGAGATAAGGAGAATCCAAGACCTCAGTGCCTTCCGCCGTGCCCTTAAAACCCACTTTTTCCAGCAAGCCGGGCTGGCTTAGGAAGAAATTTTTTAAATTTTTTAAATGTTTAATTGGTTTGTGGTTTTTTAAATTTTGGGGCCAAATTTATATATATTTTAATTGTTTTTAATATTTGTATTTCATGTTTTTAATTCTGGCTGTGCACCGCCCTGAATCCTCAGGGAGAAGGGCGGTATATAAATTGAAAAATAAATAAATAAATAAATAAGTATCTCCTATGCTCGCGTGATTTCAAACACAAAATTTGATTTTCTTAATGTAGGGATTTCCTCATAAATGTTGCCCTGATCCACCCTTTTTATGACTCTTTCCCCATCTGATCTGCTTAATGAAATTCAGGTAAAAAACGGAGTCCTGTTTTTCCTCCACCTTCCAAGAGAAACTCAAATGGCTTCAGATACATTGTGCAATGTGCGTACATTGTATTCTGTTCAGTCATGCTTATTTTGGAGGAGAAGCCAGGCATGCTAATGACAGCCTTGGCCGCTCCCTGAGAGCTCCAGGGAACTTGCCAGAGGCATCCAAAGGGCTCTTTCTACAGTTTATAAAATGCAAGCCTAGAAGGGAAGCAGGATACCAGGTTAATATAAACAAAAACCTACACACTTAAATCAACTACAAATATCCCGATCTCCGTTTTCGGCTGGGACGGTCTCCTGCAACCCTCTGGTAGTGATCTCCATTTTCACTGGCAGAGGGTTGCAGGAGGCCGTCCCAGCCGAAAATGAAGATCGGGAGCCCGTTTTCGCTGGCAGAGCACACTGGCCGCCACAGGTGCCCCCAACACAAGTGATGTCAAGTTAGCTATGCCCACCCTAGCTCCCCACCCCCCCCGAGGTCAAACACAACCCTGATGCGGCCCTCAATGAAATCAAGTTTGACACCCCTGGTCTAAAGCAGCTGATCATGCTGAATTCACCTCCTATAGGATTCTAATCAAGCATAAAAACAGAGTTTTTTTAAAATAGACACCAACTGATTACAGGAATTTGATAAGGAGTACGCATGGATAAATAATAAGGAAGCTGTTGCATTTCAGAGCTAGAGGGAAGACATATAGGGACTCACATCATAAAATCAAGATAAAATACTGTACCATATGAAGTGTGGCTTATGAAAATCTGCAAAAACATGTACTTTGTGATGCACCTTTCCAGACATTTATGAACAATCACACTAACAGCAGCCATTTTGTGAGATTATTATTAAAATTATATAATTATAACTGACTCCAAGTAAGTCTACTACACACAAAAGGTTACCTATTATTACTTTGTGTGTGTGCACGGGCATATATAAGTTACCGTAATGTTAAAAAGCAGTGGGACAAAATGTAACCTTCTGGGGCATTCTATAATCATTCTCAGAAATAACTATTTTTAAACAAGAGAACCTGAAATGAGACTGTTATCACAGAACAGCTGAACTGTAATTTAAAAAGAAACTGATCTCCTATGGCTGGAGGAAAATTCGGAAGGTCACTTCGCAACCAAAATCCAGAAAAAGTTTCCCATTACAAATTGCAATACTTTTTGCACTTTATATCTCTCTCACATTTTTACTCTAATTAAGCATCTCCCTTTGAGACATATGAAATATAAATAAATACCTACCCAAATCTATTTTTAAAACTTTCTTCAAAGAAGCCACAAGAAGAAAAAAATTACATTATCTTGCCCTTTCTGATCTATAATTATCCAAGATCTGACTAATAAGCACAGAGCGTATTTGGAAGCCATGATGGATT